TTCGTAAAAATGACTATATCTGAAAAAAACTAAAAAGAAAATAAGACTTTTACGTTTGAGAACATAGCAGGAACAGTTTTTGGTTAAAACGAAGATGATTACATAATATATATTATAGAAAATTAAAAAATACATAGTTACAGTTATAAAGCGAAATTCATAAAGTAAAGAAATATGCTTGTGGAAATAACTTAAGTCGCAAGATGTCTATATGAAGAAACTAAGCCTTCTTTGAAATTCATTAATCCGTGTTTTAAAGACGCAAATACGAATTCCTTAGACATATTCAAAATGTCCGAATTAAAAAAACAATTCAAAAATAAATTCTATTGGAATGATAATATTACTGCCATAAAAGCATCTAGCAAAACTATCAGCTTATAAAATTAGTTTTTTTAAAAAATAATAAATCTTTTTTATAATTGGCATTACTTAATTAATAATTTCATTAGATGAGAATATAGATTAAATCTTATAAATTATTCCAATATAAACCGAATATCTTTCTTATTTCTAGCATAAATCAAGTATTAATAATATATATAAAAAAAAAAAAAAAAATATATATATATTTATATATAAATAAATATACATATATTTATATATATATATATAAATAAATATACATATATTTATATATAAATAAATATACATATATATATATATATATATATATACAAAAAGTTGTCTCTCTTTAAGTACTTAATGAAATACATAAATTTAAATTTCAAAATGAGGAAAATGCCTAGAAATTTACTTGGATTATTAAAAAAACTTATGAATTAAGAAAATAATAATTAAAAACTATTTTACCTATTGAAGCTGAATTTATTCTCAAGGTTTTTTTTTTTTTTCCTTTATTTTATTTATTTTTCTAACAAAAAATAAGTCTTCTTATATGAAATATTATAGAAATACTTTAATTAATAAAATCAAAAATAAATTAAATAATACTTATTTTAAATAAGAAAAATATATATAAAAATTAAAGGAATTAATAAAAGAGAATGAAAACGATGAGGAAATATAAGAAATTATTAATAAAATTCAAGTTAATATTATTTTGGCAAGAAATATTGACAAAAAATGAATTTTTTCCTTTATATTATTAGCATATCATTTATTTTATTTTCCTTTATATTATTATTAACTTATCTCTTAATTTATTTTCCTTTAAATTATCTCTTAATTTATTTTCAATTATATTATATTATTATATTATCTTTTGGATTTCCTTTAAATTATCCCTTAATTTATTTTCCTTTATATTACCATTAACTTATCCTTTATTTTATTTTACCCTTTATATATTATTATTAACTTATCTTTTATTTTGTTTTACTTTATATTATCTCTTAATTTATTTTACTTTATATCTTATCTTTTATTTTATTTTCCTTTATATTCTCATTAATATAATTTATTTTCCTTTATATTATTAACTTAATCTTTTATTTAATTTTCATTTGTATTATCATTAACTTATTTTATTTTCCTTTGTATTATCATTAACTAATCTTTTATTTTATTTTCCTTTTATATTATCCCTTATTTTATTTTACATTATATTATCATTAACTAATCCCTTATTTTATTTTCCTTTATATTATTATTAACTAATCACATAATTTAATTTCCTTTATAATATTAACTTAACTTGTCTATTATTTTATTTATTTTTTATTCATTAAAAACAAAAAAAACATTATATATCTATTACATAGACTACAAATAAAAATGTTTATATTTATAATCTAAATAAAAATATTCTTATTTATACTAATATTTCTCCTAATAAATGGACAAACCGAATAAAATTAAAAACATATAACAATATCCCAAAACGAGTCAGTACTAATAGATTTAGATTAGTTAATAAATTCAAAAAGCATCCAAAAAGACAACTATATATATAAAGATATATAAATATTAGACAATACCAATGAAAATAAATAATAATAATAATAATAATAATAATAATAATAATAATAATAATAATAATATTTTTCTTCTTTATAAATAACTGATAGTCTAAAAAATCTCGCCGCATTTAAAATTCCTTAGAATTATATAACCCATGTACATATTAAGGGTACTAAATTACATTTGTTTATGAATGAAACAAGTATATAATTTAGCGAAGAATATGAAACTTCGAAATTCAAATACAAGACAATTTAAATTGAAAAGATTAATAATTGCTTTGGAATGGTTTATTATAGGAATTTATTGCCTAAGAGGAGTGATTATATCATATTAGATTGTATATCTAATTCTTAGCTTTATTTAACTTTAAATATTACAGGGATGTATACTATAGAGGATGTTAAAGATAATTTAGAAATAATTCCTATAATTTAAGATTTAAATATAAACTAGGATTGCTTAAAGAAACAAATTCTCCTTTTTGAAATGATTATAAGACCTAATAAATAGTCTTTATTTTAAGGATAAGTATAAAACAAAGACTTTTTATTAGAATATTGTCCTTTTTCATATAGAAAAATATAAGATTAAAGTCAGAATGATTCTATATTTATAAAGGAACTATATTTACTTAATAAGGAAATTTATAAATAGGAAAACTTAAGAAATTAAGACTAAAATTCCTTAAATTTAATCTATAGGAATCGATATTAGTAATGAAAACTCACTTATAATAGTAAATTAATAAGTAATGCTCTATTATTAGGAAATGAGTGATTCTTATAATTTAAAAAATATATCTTAGAAAATTCTATATAGCGATAGTTTTGATATGGCAGAGTTTTTTGTTGCTATGGATAGTACTTAGTTAAGAAGGTAAAATTGCTTATTAATTGCTAATAATGATAGTATTTATGTATTAGATGTTACATAAAGTAGAAATATAAGGTATATTAATCATAAGTTTATGCCTAAAAATCATAAGATTCTTTAAGTGATATTGAATAAGGACTATATTGTGAGTTATGGATTTATATAAGATGATAATAATGGAAATATTTTATAATAGAAGTAGTAGTTTATTGCTATTTTGGGAATGTAATAGGATAGCTATGGAGTACATAAATATTATAGTGTGAAAAATGATTTTACTTATTCAATTTAAAAGTTTTCGGATGATTATACTGATAATTAATATTTTTAAATTAATAATTAAAATGGAGAAGTATAACTGCTTAGAATAGGATAAAATTATTTGAATGTTACGTCAGGTTATTTTGATAAACCTATTGAGAAAACAATATAATTGAGTGTAAAATATAATATAATATATAAAAGTATTTGATATTATATTATATTAATAATAATATATATAAAAATATAAAGATAAATATATATAAAGAAAGAATGATATATATATATTTTATATATATATATATATATAATATATATATATATATATATATATATATATATTTATTCATATATTATATTTTCTATCATTTTTTCAAGTGCATTCCAACAAATTAAATATTAAATCTTTATCAATCTATAATTAAATTGGATATTGTGGTACATTTTGTTATAATATAGTAATTTTTGCAACTTTCTGATAATGGAATATAGTTATTTTAAAATAATAATAGTTAATTTCATTTTGATGATTTTAATATTAATCTTAATCTTGTAGATATGTTTTATGGACCATAAATGGATTTTAATATATATGAAAATTTCTAAGATTTACTTAAATTTAATGCAACTATCAATAATTACATAGAGTATGATTTAAATTTTGAAAAGGGTGATTAAAGTATTGTTTATGATATCCTTATGGCTTAAATTATTCATTAACAAACTAAATAATTAAAAGTTTTTGTTTAATTTAAATATGAAAGTATAAATATATATAAATATTTATATATATATATATAAATATATTTTCATAAATTTATTTTATTTTCAATAGATTATTATGATATTAAATATTATATATGCTAATTAAATTTATAGGATAGTGTCTCTTTTTGCAATTCTTAAAATTTTATATAATAATTTAATTATTAAATCTTAAAATTAAAATTAGTAAAAAACACTAAAATCTATTATATAAATATATATATATATAAAATAATAATAGTTCAATTAATTTTATGTTAGTTTAGTCTAAAGTTTTAAAGGAGAATTAATAAAATTATCTTATTTATTTTATGAACAAAAATAATTGGTTACCAAAAATACTAATAATAATGAAAACTAAATAAATAATTTAATATAATATGATTATAAAAAAATAATTGATGATTTTGTAGACTATATTAAAGTTTTTAATTAAGATTTCGTATCTTTAGTATCTTTAGAAAAACAGAAATTATGGATTCTAACAATAGAATAAATTAATAATTAAATAGAAATCAAAATTTTGATATAAATCGAATTGAATAAAAACATGGAGAGTAAAAGATTATATATATAAAAAAATATAAAAAGTATATAGATTTATTTATTAATATGTATATATAGATTTAATTATTTATATATATATATAAATATATATTTATAGATATTATATATATATATATAAACTATGTTTTTTACATTTACATATTTTTATATATAAATATATCAATTTCAATATTTCCTTTTATTTATATTATTTTTATCATAATAACATAGAATTATTAAACATTTCTTTAAACCTTTTACTCTAAAAAAAGATTATAATAACTATTAATAAGTAAAATCTTATTCAAATTTACGTTGTTTATCCCGAAAACGGTTAATTTTCTATAAATAAACGATAATATAATGTTCAATTAGTAAATAATCTATAGTTATCTTCTGAATAAATTTGCAATTTCAAAATACTTTAATATCCTTATATAATAATAACCTGTATAAACCTTACTAATGGTTTCTCGAAAATCGATGAATATTAAATAAACTCGAATCTAGATATAGTTTATGTAAGGACTTATAATACATATAAATATTAAATAACAAAAGAATTAATTTCTTTTTCAAATTAAGACCAAGTATTTTATTATTAGCTGGCTACATACTTTAATTTACAAATGAAGAAAAGAATATACTCGCTTTTGATTTTCCAACCCAATTAAGTATCACCTAATGTATTTAAAATGGGCGTAGATTTATAGACTATGTTTTTTTGTATTCCTTTTGACGTCTAAAAAAGTAAATATGGGAACTATATTATATTTAAAGACTTAAATTAGTTTCTTTTTAAATAAATTAATAGTGACACTACTCTTAATTTAGATGTTTTTTCGAAATAAGATAATTTTGATTTCAATATAACTCTATATACGACTTCTAATTATACCTAAAACTCTATTATTAGACATTTAAATGTAAAAATGGATATTTAATAGTATAAAGTATTATCTTTTGAAGTTGATAATTAATGGATTTTTATTGGTTAAAATAATAGATTCGCATATATAGAAATTCCTTAGAAATCTTTTTAAGGTCCTATATAATCTATTCATTTATTATAATAATAAATATACCAAAAAAATGACTTTTATGTAAAAGTTAGATAAATGAGCCTTTAATCTAAATTAATATAACAAAATAATTATAATAATGTATAATTTTTATATGGAATTAATATAGACGCCGCATTTTTCCAAAAATAAAATTTGTTCATTTTTTTAACTTAAAAATAATTGATTTTTGTCATGCCAAATATGAAAACTCATTCTTTTAAAATCAATTTTTTACTAGGAATAGACTAAGACTTCGATTTTTCGAAGTGTTCTATATTCCATCATAAAAACTGTCCTATAGCATATATACATTGCAAATAATTTCAGAAAATATAGGAAATTTCCTACAAAGTAGTGCCTAATACATTCGAAATAGTTAATTTTTCTCAAAAAAATATCTATAATCTACCCACTTAATAATTCGGTGATATCTAATAAATAATATTAAATGATGATATAGACTGTGAGAATATAGAAAACAAATTTTTTATGCTTTCTAAATACGATTCTTATTATTAAGAGTCATTTATTTCATATGCAAGTACTTAAGGAAATAATATAAAAATTTAATTAAGAATAGATGCCAAAACTATGGGTATGAGATTTCTAATAGTATAAAATATTTCAGTAAAGTCTTTTTTTTTAGAAGGAAAAATCCAGTTTAATTTAATAGGAATTATATAGGAAAATTAAGTCATTTTTTTAAGAATAAATTAATAAAATCAGATTTTATAGAAAATATATGAATAAAAAAACAAACAAAAAATATAGACAATTGATTTATTTAATATAGACTAATAAAAAGACGACATATTAATAATAAAATATATACTCTAATATATAAATAGTGATTCCGTTTTATTATAAACTAAAATTAATATATAAAATACTAATAATACAATCACATTTTTAAATAAAAAAAAAGTCTTGGCAATATATAAACACTATAAAATGTGTTCTTATTATGTCAATAATCCTATTTTATATTTCGAAAATCAAAATAAACATTTCCCTTAGTATTTAGCTAGGTTTTGTGTTTTTTAATAAAAGTCTTTAGGGGAATATGAGGCAGATTTTTCATATAGTTATTAACTTGTTTTATATTCTTATTCTAATAATTATAATTATTATGCCCAGTCGATTATATAATTACCTTACTTTAATAGAAAGCCTTCTAGAGTGTTTTTTTATAAAAAAATATAAGAAGAATAAGAAGAAGAAGATAAGATAAATATACTAATTACGAGTTATATTAAGTATATATTAATATTCATTATATGTAAAAATACAAATTAAATTGTTTTATAAAAAATAGTCTTTTTGTAGATTATTATCTATATAAAGAATATAAACTTGAATTTTATTTCAAAAAACCTTAAAAATTCGTTATTTCTAAGAAAAATATAGATATATATGCAGTTAATAATCATTTTTCGAATACTACGAAAATAAATTACTATTTAATAGATTATTAGGCGGATATAAAGCAATAAAAATCAATTTTTATATATTTTTATTTTACTTTGTGTTTTTTTATGGCTTTGTTTTACTTTATACCGATTTTTGCTTGGATATTTAATAATTATAGTGAATAAAAACAACGAAAAAAAACAGAAAAAGAGAAGAAAAACAATACAAAATGCAATAAAAAAAATAAAATAAGGAAAAAATCAAAATTATAAATAGATTAATAAAAGGAAGAAGATAAAGAAAAGTAAAAAGAAACAATTTAAAATAGGTGATATTAAAAAAAAAAATATTAAATATAAATATATATAAATATAAATATATATAATATATATATATATATATATATAATATATATTTATAAATATTATAATTTTCATTATTAAAAAGTGACTTTTTTTTCTTAACTCATTTCTTCACTATTTTCTTATTATTCATTTGTAATTTATTTTTACCATTCTAAAAATACTTCTTCTGCTCTTTATAGTATTTATTTATTAGCATTTAAATGTAATACACTTCCGTCTTTTCTCAATACAACCAATTAAGGTATTCCTATGATTTCAAAATGTTCCCTATATTATTCTATACGATCTTTATCATAAGGAAGACTTAACCAAGGCATACTTTTGTAATATTTTTGAAAATCCTCTTCATTTTTATCAAAAGAAACTAAAATAATTTCCATAACTTTATCTTCTATATTAACTTCGTTATAAAACTCTATTATTCTAGGAGTTAAAGCTCTACTTGGATGGCAAAAACTGGCTGAAAAATATAAACAGACTATTTCATGGTTTGCAAATACATCTTAATCTACTGGACCTCTTTTACTTTCAAATTAAGTACCAAATTTAAACTCATATGGTTTTTATAATATACTATAATTACCTCCTTATTTTAAAAACGTAGATTGGTAATATTCAGATTAGTTATTTAAAGTACTTTAGTTAAATGTTACTGTACTTTAATTATTATCCAACATTTTTTTATTTTTTGTAACTTATTTTTTTTATATATATAAATATATATATAATGAAATATTATATAAACATATTATTTATTATTTTTTTACACAAAATAAATGAAAAGATAATATATTTTATTATTAATATCCATTTTTAAAAATTTGTAAATAAAGTTTTAAACAAAAAATTACGAAATTAAAAAGATAATATATATTTTTATATAATAGTTTTTTTTAAATAATTTTTTATCATTCTTTTAATTATGTATAACAACGATGTCCACATCTAGTTGGGCATTCTTGATTATTTTTAAACCATTTTTTCATTTCATGTAAATGACCACCATGCTAGCATATTTAACACCACATTAAAAGTCCTCTAACAGGCAATTTACTATAAAAAATAAAAGAATTATGAAAATAAATATATATATTAATTAAATAGATATTTATTAATATATAATGTAACAAAATTTATATAAATTTAGTTTAATATATAATTAAATATATAAATATTATAGATTATATATTTTAATATATATTATTTTAAATAAATATTAAATATATATTTTATAAATACAAAATATTATATATATATAAATATATATATATATATATTTATATTTAATATAGTAATTTAATAATGCATAAATATTTTACATAAATAATATTATTTATAATAATTTAAAAATACCAATATGCACATCTAAATTTGTTCTAACATTTTTAACACTATTATTTTATATTATAATCAAATAAATTTCCACAATGTGAACATTATCTGTAAAATATTATTTTTCTCTTTATTTATATATAATAAAATTATTTATTTTATATATAATATTTTTAATAGATTTTATTTTAATAATTACATTTTCAGTATTTATTAATGTAGCAGTTAAATTATTATAATGATTAGCACAATTATATAATTAATAATTTCTACACATTTCAATAATATTAAATGTCCAATTCATTACCGTTTATTTAGAAACTTTTAAATGTTCTCTAAAGACTAAATAAATAATAAAAGCACTTTATAATTCCCCATTATCAACTAATTACTATAATTATTCTACACAACATTAAATTAGTTATTCATTAATATTTTTTTCCACTTTTTAAGGTTACTTTATTTTTTTATTTAAAAATAATCATATAAATATAAATATAATAATTTTATTATTTATTTAAAAAATATACTTCTTTAGTTAATTTATCCATGATTTCACTTTTTAATTTTTAATTAATATACACAGTATTTTCATTAGGTAATAGAATTATATCTTTTATTAAATAGCCTAATTTAATAGATTAAGATTATTCGAATTAAAATACTTATATATTTATTCCATATCTATAATTTCTTCCTTTATATTATTATCTATTAATAAAGTATTAGTATTTGTATCTTTATTTTAAGAATAGAATTTTTATATATTATTATTATTGTTATTATTATTATTTTATTATATTTATAATAAATTTTAGGAATTTTTTAATAGATTTTAACTTTTAGATAAAATAATAATTTCTTATTAGCTTTTTTTAGACTATTTTTAAGGACAGAAAATTTCAGCGAATTCCATCCAAATTTTTTAAACGAAAATATTATTTTTTTATAATGCGATTTCCGCATTATATAGGGCAATTTCTCTTATATTCCCTTCCGTTTTATAATTTTTCGCAAAATAAATTAGTTGCTCATATGTATCATCTAATTTAAAGCTATCTATATATAGAAATTATAAATATATATATATATATATATATAAATATATATTTATATATATATTTATATATATATTTAATTTTACCTTCTAGTAATGTTACAAATCTATTTTTTTTTTAATATTTGATAGTAAATTTATCTTAATCATTAAATTTTAGCATATCAATTGAACTCCTTATAACGCTTTTATTAGAATCAGAATAATTTTTACTGATACTTTTTTTAATCTTTTTTTCATAAAAAAGTTCATTACTCTCTAATCTAAAACCCACATTATTAAATAAATCGACACAAATAGGATTAGCCGAAGCCCCGCTATATGGTTTGAATCCATTATTTACATCTCTGCATATAATAGTACCTAAAAATGTCATAAAAATACTCAAAAAACAATACAATAATACCATCTTTCGAACAAGTTAGAATTTACTTCGCCTAATTCAAATAAAGTATTCCAGAAACACATTCCGAATGTCCTTAATATATCATATAAGGCCTATGTTTTTAATTCAAATTAAAAACATGTATTTCATAATTCATATTAAAACTAACAATATTAATATCATATGGATTAGAAAGAGACCATTTAACCTATCCTATACCCACAATATGATTTAATTACAAAAATTCTTATATATTTTAATTATTATCAATATACCAAATAATAGATTTCTTATCTAAACAGCCTGAAGCGAAATAATTAGGTTTAAAAGTGTTAAAATCTAATGAAAAAACAGCTTAATTATGCTTATTTACAAACGAAGATACTGTTTTATCTTTTTTCCGAAGATCATGAACTTCTATATAGCCATTATCAAGAGCTGATATAATGTAATTTTAATCTTTTGGGTAATATTTTACATCTTTTACAGCATCTGTGCACTATATTGTTTCTATACTTCTTCCTGAATTTAAATCCTATGTAAATATTTATATGTTATCTATATATATTAGTTATACCCATAGCTTTATAGTTTTATCTTATGAACCAGTAATTAATTAAGTATCTTTTTTAGGATCCCAATATACTTTATTTATTATTAAAGAATGTTCTTTTTAACAAGGCGAACCTTAAGCTAATTATAGTAATAAAAATAAATAAATTAAATATATAAAATCTAAATTACGTGCTAATTTAGTTACATCCCATACTATAAAATTATTATTTGATTAATATGAAGTGACTATCTTTGTTTCTATTTTTTTATATATATATATATATTTATATAGTATATATTTAATAAAATACAATCTAATCTATTCCATTATACAAAACTTGCACTTGTTGGCTTTCTTTGTAGTTTTAAAGATTTTGAACTTTCTATTTATATCAAATCATTTTGATTTTTTATCGATAGTAATTTTAATTCTTTTATTTTAATATAAATCATTTTATATTTTTTTATTAATTACATTATGATCCTCCTATACATAATTAATTACAATCATTATTACAATCCATAGATTCAATATTATTTTTTGTTCTTAAATAATAAACAGATGTATTAATTTTTTCTTTTTCATTCATTTGCTTAAATTATATATAAAAAAAAAAAAAAATATAATAATAATAATATTTATATATAGTAATTGTAATATTTTAAATATTAATATTTATATATGTTTAATTATTAAAAATATTTTAAGAAAAAAAAAATATTAATATATTAAATATATAAATATATATATATATATATTTTTATTTAATGATATATATTTTTATTATTATTTTTTTATATATATATATTAATATTACAATTTTTATAAATCTTAAATATATGTATATTCTTTTATTTATTTAAGTTAATATTTATAATAATTATATATATATTAATTTGATTATTATTTTTTATATATTTTCTTTTTTTAAATTAATAATATAATAGAAATATTATTTATTTTATAATAAAATAAAAATGAGATAAAGTTTTGGTCCTAAATAATAATAATCCTTTTTAAATTAAAGTAGTTAAAACGATAATTTTATATAATATCCTTACAGGTAAAAACATTAAATAAACAATTAATTAAAAAAAATATAAAAGATTTGTTATTATAATATTATTTTTCATGCCAAGTTTAGGTAATGCAATATTATGGATTACCTTAAGTCCAATATCTGAATAAATAGGATTTGTAAAAATTAAAAAAAATATTTTAATATATATATATATATATATATATTAAAATTAATTAGTTATATAATTAAAATTAATTAATAGTCAATATGTCTTCTTTAGTATTTATGCTTTTATATATATTTGTGAATTTTCCATCAAACTATGTTCTTGGTTTAAATTGTAAAAATGGAGTAATTAAATAAATTAATAAATCCATAAATAAAATAAGGTCCTTTTAGGCGCAGCTTTTACGATAATAGGATCATGGATAAGAGTTCTAGTAAATAAGAGTTTTTGGTATGTTATTCTAGGTTAAATATTAGGCGCAATTGGTTAACCTTTTATATTAAATGCTCCTGCGAAAATAGCTACTGAATGGTTTATACCAAAATAAGTAATAAATAATTAAAATAAAAAATAAATAAATAAAAGAGACCAGCTGCTATAGCTGCTTTAGCTTTAATAAATATGGTAGGAATAGGAATAGGTTTTTTGATTCCTAGTATATTTGTTGAAAATACTAAAGATATGTAAATAGGAAAAAATTAAGTATATAATTTAATGTTTTGGGAAGCTATAATTATTAGTGCAGGATGTGCGCCTATATTTATTTTATTTAAGAACAAACCAAAAACACCTCCTAGTCATTCTGCTAACACTGAAAAAATGAGTTTTAAATAAAGTATTCCAGTAGTATTTGCAAATAAAGATTATATAATTTTACTTATAGCATTTGGATGTGTTTTAGGAAATTTTTCGGCTATTTCTACTTTAATGAATTATTATTTAATACCATATAATTTAAATAATGTATAATAATATATAAATAAATGTATATATATATATATTAATATATATTATATTTATAATCTATATATATATATATACATTTATTTAATTTTTTTTTATTATTTTTTAGTAATAAATTTCTTTTTGTGGTGCTACTTTTATTGTTTCAGGTTTAATTGGTTCCACTATCTTTAGCATTATAATAGAAAAAACTGGAAAATATAAAAAAATATTAATATTTTCTAGTTTTTTTGCTATGTTAAGTTAAGGTTTATAAATTGGAATGATTTTAACTTATAATATATGGTATATATTATTAGGTATATTTTTTTTTGGTTTTTTCGCAATTCCTTTAATTCCTCTTTCTATGGATTTCGCTTGCGAGCTAACTTTTCCTGTGTGTGAAGCTTTTTCTTCTGGTTTAATTTATGCTTGTGGGTAGTTTGTGGGATTAGTTCTTATTTTAATATCCGACTTAGTTTTTGATTTGAAAAATAAAACTCAAGTTATTTATTCTAATTGTATTGGAATGGGATTTATGGTTCTTAGTGTATTATTTTATTGTATTATTGGTGAAAATTTATTAAGGAAAACAGAAGAAAATAAAAATTAATTAAAATATATAAATAATAGTAATTCTGAACTATTAATTTCATGAAATAATATTACATATATATTTTTATGGAATTTTATATAATTTTTTAAATTTATAAGTAATTATATATACAATATATATATATATATATATATAT